ATAACTAAGATCAGAGCAGAACTGAAGGAGATAGAGACACAAAAAACCCTTCAAAAAATCAATGAATCCAGGAGCTGGTTTTTTGAAAAGATCAATAAAATTGATAGACCGCTAGCAGGACTAATGAAGAAAAGAGAGAAGAATCAAATAGATGCAATAAAAAATGATAAAGAGGGTATCACCACTGATCCCACAGAAACACAAATGACCATCAGAGAATACTATAAACACCTCTATGCAAATGAACTAGAAAATCTAGAAGAAATGGATAATCTCCTGGACACTTACACTCTCCCAAGACTAAACCAGGAAGAGGCTGAATCTCTGAATAGACTAGTAATAGGTTCTGAAGTTGAGGCAATAATTAATAGCAAACCAAAAAAAGTCCAGGACCAGACGGATTCACAGCCGAATTGTACCAGAGGTACAAAGAGGAGGAGCTGGTACCATTCCTTCTGAAACTATTCCAATCAACAAAAAAAGAGGGAATCCTCCCTAACTCATTTTATGAGGCCAATGTCATCCTGATACCAAAGCCTGGCACAGACACAACAAAAAAAGAGAATTTTAGACCAATATTCCTGATGAACATCAATGCGAAAATCCTCAATAAAATACTGGCAAACCGAATCCACAGCACATCAAAAAGCTTATTCACCACAATCAAGTCGGCTTCATCCCTGGGATGCAAGGCTTGTTCAACATATGTAAATCAATAAATGTAATCCATCACATAAACAGAATCAATGACAAAAACCACATGATTATCTCAATAGATGCAGAAAAGGCCTTCGACAAAATTCAGCAGCCCTTCATACTGAAAACTCTCAATAAACTAGGTACTGATAGAACATATCTCAAAATAGTAAGAGCTATTTATGACAAATCCACAGCCAGTATCATACTGAATGGGCAAAAACTGGAAGCATTCCCTTTGAAAACTGGCACAAGACAGGGATGCCCTCTCTCACCACTCCTATTCAACATAGTTTTGGAAGTTCTGGCCAGGGCAATCAGGCAAGAGAAAGAAATAAAGGGTATTCAATTAGGAAAAGAGGAAGTCAAATTGTCCCTGTTTGCAGATGACATTATTGTATATTTAGAAAAAAAAAAAAACCATCGTCTCAGCTCAAAAGCTCCTTAAGTTGATAAGCAACTTCAGCAAAGTCTCAGGATACAAAATCAATGTGCAAAAATCACAAGCATTCCTACACACCAACAACAGACAAAACAGAGAGCCAAATCATGAGTGAACTCTCATTCACAATTGCTTCAAATAGAATAAAATACCTAGCAATCCAACTTACAAGGGATGTGAAGGACCTCTTCAAGGAGAACTACAAACCACTGCTCAATGAAATAAAAGAGGACACATATGGAAGAACATTCCATGCTTATGGATAGGAAGAATCAATATCATGAAAATGGCCAGACTGCCCAAGGTAATTTATAGATTCAATGCCATCCCCATCAAGCTACCAATGACTTTCTTCACAGAATTGGAAAAAACTACTTTAAAGTTTATATGGAACCAAAAAAGAGCCCGCATTGCCAAGACAATCCTAAGCAAAAGAACAAAGCTGGAGGCATCATGCTACCTGACTTCAAACTATACTACAAGGCTACAGTAAGCAAAACAGCATGGTACTGGTACCAAAACAGAGATATAGACCAACGTAACAGAACAAAGGCCTCAGAAATAACACAACACATCTACAACCATCTGATCTTTGACAAACCTGACAAAAACAAGAAATGGGGAAAGGATTCCCTATTTAATAAATGGTGCTGGGAAAACTGGCTAGCCATATGTAGAAAGCTGAAACTGGATCCCTTCCTTACACCTTACGTAAAAATTAATTCAAGATGGATTAAAGACTTAAACATTAGACCTAAAACCATAAAAACCCTAGAAGAAAACCTAGGCAGTACCATTCAGGACATAGGCATGGGCAAGGACTTCATGACTAAAACACCAAAAGCAATGGCAACAAAAGCCAAAATAGACAAATGGGATCTAATTAAGCTAAAGAGCTTCTGCATAGCAAAAAAAAAAACTACCATCAGAGTTAAAAGACAACCTACAGAATGGGAGAAAAATTTTGCAATCTACCCATCTGACAAATGGCTAATATCCAGAATCCACAAAGAACTTAAACAAATTTACAAGAAAAAAACAACCCCATCAAAAAGTGGGCAAAGGATATGAACAGACACTTTTCAAAAGAAGACATTTATGCAGCCAACAGACACATGAAAAAAATGCTCATCATCACTGGTCATCAGAGAAATGCAAATCAAAACCACAATGAGATACCATCTCACACCAGTTAGAATGGTGATCATTAAAAAGTCAGGAAACAACAGATGCTGGAGGGGATGTGGAGAAATAGGAACGCTTCTACACTGTTGGTGGTAGTGTAAACTAGTTCAACCATTGTGGAAGACAGTGTGGCAGTTCCTCAGGGATCTAGAACTAGAAATACCATTTGACCCAGCAATCCTATTACTGGGTATATACCCAAAGGACTATAAATCATGCTACTATAAAGACACATGCATATGTCTGTTTATTGCAGCACTATTCAACAATAGCAAAGACTTGGAACCAACCCAAATGTCCATCAATGATAGACTATATTAAGAAAATGGGCACATATACACCATGGAATACTATGCAACCTTAAAAAAGGATGAGTTCATTTACTTTGCAGGGATATGGATGAAGCTGGAAATCATCATTCTCAGCAAACTATCGCAAGGACAGAAAACCATACACCGCATGTTCTCACTCATAGGTGGGAATTGAACAATGAAAACAGTTGGACACAGGGAGGGGAACATCACACACCAGGGCCTGTTGTGGGGTGGGGGGCAGGGGTAGGGATAGCATTAGGAGAAATACCCAATGTAAATGACGAGTTAATGGGTGCAGCAAACCTACATGGCACATGTATACCTATGTAAAAAACCTGCATGTTCTGCACATGTATCCTAAAACTTAAAGTATAAGAAATAAATAAATAAAAAGATGCCTCCCTCACAGATCTATTGGTAAGATTAAATAAGAGCATGGATGTAGAGCAAGAGGGTCAGTACTTGACACAGAGAACGTGCCAGTGTCCTCACATCCCCTCCCTTTCTCTTTCCTCTGTTTGTTAGAAGGCTCTTCCCAACACGAAATCGACCTTGATCCTGGTTAGTCCAGTTTCCAGGCAGTACTCCACACCCAGTGCCCGAGTATCTGTGAATGGGTGATTCTCCATGGGTATTATTCATAAGGTCCAGGGCTGTCCCTGAAGTTCTAGGGACCTCCATGAAGAGACGAAGAGAAAGCAATACAAACCGAAGAGTCCCTATTATAGCAAAACCCTAGTGAGACCGTCAAATCATTCTGTGAAACTATCTACACCCGCGAAACTTGGTTAGATGTCGGACGCCTGAGCTACCACCACTCTGCCCCTTGGAATCCTTCGTCCTGCCGTTCCAGGTCACTGAGTTCCACCTCCAGCTTTCTCCCAGTTACTAATGATGCCAACCGCCACACAAACATAAACGTTGCTTCTTACTACATACACTGCTTGGAAGACAACATCTTTCCCAATATAGGGTCCATGGCGGGAGGACAAATAACAAAAAGAATGCCGAGAAACAACACTTTCCATAACCACTTCACAGTCACAAAGTGCTGCTACGTACTTGACTTCATTTAATGCTCATAGGGTCCGAGCTAAAGTATTATTTACAGCCATTTGACTGGCTAGGACACTGATGCTTGGTGAGCCTAAGGTGCTGGCTAAAGGTCACACATGTACTAAGTAAGTGGTTAAGCTGGAGTTCAAATAAGAGACATGGTAACTCCACCACTACAAAAGCTTCTCTAATCACAGGGTTGCCTACTGCACTTCTGCTAACTCTCAGAAGCTGCTAAAGGCCTGGCTTGGAGGTCTTCATGAGAGACGTTCTAGGGAATGAGTTGGAGATGAGACCCAGGCTTGGAGAAAGGGATGATCATCCAGTCCTTGTGTTAACAGGAGGGAGCACTCAGGTACCCAAGGTGAGAAAAGGCCTGAGGACCAGGGTAAGAGGTGCCTGCATGCCCCAGAGAGTGAAACAGAGAGCAGAACAGTGGGCCCTAGGGCCTGGTGGGAACCACCTCTGGTCTCTTCTAATACTCTACATCTCTGAGACCCTCCAGCCCCACAGCCCAGAGCCAGCAAGCAGCCTTGCTTCTCTTGCTCTAGCTCTCTCTTCAGCTCGAGTTTCCACCAGTTTCGCCCCACCACCCGCCCCGATTGGTATCCCTATGAGGGATACCTTATGGAAATCAATGAGATCCGTGAGCGTTGCATGGCGATTGGGGTCCACTCCCAGGAAGCTGTAAAAATCCCCAGAGGCATCCACAAGAAAGTGCTTGAACCCTTTCTGCAGGCGGTAGGAGAGGGTGTAACCCCAGATTTTCTCACTGACCCGGACCAGGAATGCTCCCTCAGTCATGTTCTCCAGGAGATCTTCTGCATCTTCTCGGCTAATAATTCCTGATTTAAAATAGGAAAAAAAAAAAAAACACACAGCAGGTTCTGCAACTGCCTCCCCATGATCCTCCATTCCTCCCTGCCCCGCACCCTGTGGCTCAGTGCACATGCCATCCACACAGTCCAGGATGCCAGGAAGAAAAGAGCCCCAAGGGCTGGCCAAGCACATGCCTCCTTCCATAGAGAGGGCATCTTGGCCCAGCGCCACCCGCCGTGAGCCTGGGGGCAGAGTTTCTATTAGGACCTGAATAGAGCGTGCTTTCCTCCACATTGAGCCATGCTGACTTGGATTAATTGAGTAAGCAACGAATTAGTAGTGAGCTGTGATTATAGCATTATTGATTATAAATATAAGTCAACAGGCTTGTGAAAAGCCTTAAGAGGCCTGCTTTAAAGACTAGTCCAGAATGGCTGCTGATGACTAACTCACTTATTTCTCTAGTACCATAAATGAGCACCTAAAAACAGGGTTTTCCCTTAAAAAGTAAAAAGATTTCTTCCAAATACCTGTGAACACCAGGCCAAAAGTTTCTTAATAGGGGTATAGAATCAAGCTTCACTTCAGCTCAACGATCAAAACTTCCTAAGGACTTGCAGTCCTACACAATGTGGTTTCATCACAGTTTGGAAGTCTGGTTGGCCTTGGAGTCATTGATATGCTGGGTAGCAATCCCCTGAAATGCTCTCAGGGAGCTGCTGTCATCTGGGTGATGAAAGAGCAGTGATGTAGAGCAGGTTCCAGAGGCAGGTAGGTGGGAAGAGGAGGGGAAGCCAGAAGACCTGGGTTACCCCCACCCCCTACCTCTGCCGACCTGGCTATGGAATTTTCAGCCAAGCCCTCAACATCTCCAATGTCCTTTGACATTTAGATGATCAGAACCCAAATACTTAAAAGGTATGTTATGACTTTCAAGTTGAATAAAGGACTCAAACTCATTTCATACACGGAGAATAGCTGTGGAGATGATGGATCCTGTTATCATCTGTTATTCCGGAGGAGAGGTGAATTGTAACACATTGTCCCTTTGCTCACCCATGGACTTACCCTTTCCACACAGTCAGTGATAGGCATGGGGATAGAGTGGCCGAGCTGCCTATCTCCACGACCCTGAGAGGCTCTGCACACCTGTGACTTCTCCCCAGTACCCAATGCCACTCCCGAGCCAGTCACAGTCAGGCTCCCCTCCCATCAATCTCCGGCCTCACGGGGCACACTCGAGACTTCCCTTGGGCCCAAGGCAGAGGACACAGAGGCAACCACACTGCCAAATGATCTACCCTTTAAAGATAGTTAGCGCAATCAGGGGCCACCTACTTCCTTCTTGCCCAGGACTTACAGCGAGAGGCATCCAAGCCAGCCACCCCTCCCCAGCCAAGCTCTAGAAGCAGAAAAGGAGGAAGAGTAAGAGAAGGAAGGAGGTGAGGAGCCCTTTTGCCACAGGGTGCCTGAAAAATAAACACTGTCCCATGCAAGAGGGAGGATGCGCCCCAGTGCTGCCCCCCAGAAGGTCTTGGGGGCTTCATGCAGAAAAGCTGGACAGCCAAAAGAAGACCGAAAGGGAAAGTCCAGGATCCCTCAAAACTTGGCCCTGTCCTTCACCTACCTCCCTGACCTAACACCAGAACACCTGGACCCTAAAAGAGGCTGCAGTAGGGAGATAAGTAAGGGGAGCCAGAGGCAGGGCCAGGGCCTGGGAGGAAGAAGGACCAGAAGACATAACCCTCATCCCCACTCCAAGCACCTCAAGCTGAGGCACAGGCGGGGCTAGGGTTGGAGAGGAGGGGAGTGTTACTAGGGTGGGAAACTACAGTCAAATTAAATACGATTCAACTTTTTTTTCTTTTAAACAAGTGTCTTTATTGTAATGTTTATTACTTTTTCACTGATAAATAAAAATTGTATATATTTATGGTATACATGACATTTTGATATATGTATGCACTGTGGGATGGCTAAATCAATCTACTTAAGATTAACATATGCATTATCTCACATACTTACTTTTTGTGGTGAAGACACTTAAAAATCTACCCTCTTGGCTGGGTATAATAACTCATGCCTATAATCTCAGCACTTTGGGAGACTGAGGTGGAAGGATCACTTGAGCCCAGTAGTTCAAGACCAGCCTGGGCAACATAGCCACAATTGTTGTCTCCACACTTTTTGTGGAGACAACCATCTCCACAAAAAATTTAAAAATAATTTGGGCATGATGATGCACACTTACTTGGGAAACTGAGGCAAGAGGACCATTTGCAACCAGGAGTTCAAGGCTGCAGTGATCTGTGATCATACCACTGCACTCTAGCCTGGGTGACAGAGCAAGACTCTGCCTCAAACAAACAAACAAACAAAAACTCTCTTGGCAATTTTCAAGTATACAGTATATCATTAATTGTAGTCACCATGCTGTACAATAGATCTCTTGAACTTATTCCTTCCGTCTAAATGAAATTTTATGTCCTTTGACCAACATCTCCCCAGTGCCTGCCTCTCCCAGCCCCTGGTAACCACCATTCCACTTTCTGCTTCTGGAAGTTCAATGTTTTCAGATTCCACATATAAGTGAGATCATGAGGCAGTTGTCTTTCTGTGCCTGACTTACTTCACTTAGCATAATGTCCTGTAGGTTCATCCACGTTGTCACAAATGACAGGATTTCATTCTTTTTAAAGGCCAAATACTATTTCATTGCGCACATATACCACATCTCTTTATCCATTCAACTGTTAATAGACACTTAGGTTGGGACTGGCGTGGTGGTTCAGGCCTATAATACCAGCACTTTGGGAGGCCAAGGTGGGAGGATCGCTTGAGCCCAGGAATTCAAAACCAGCCTGCGCAACATAGCAAGGCCCTGAATCTATAAAAATTAGCTGGGCATGGTGGCACATGCCTGTGGTCCCAGCTACTCAGGAGGCTGGGGTGAGAGAATCACATGAGCCTGGGAATTCAAGGCTGCAGTGAGCTACGATCATGCCACTACACTCTAGCCTGGACAACAGAGTAAGGCCCTATTTCAAAAATAAATAAATAAATAAACAAATGCTTCCCTTGATTCTCTATCTTGGCTATTGTGAATAATGCTACAATCAACATGGCAGTATAGATATGTCTTCGACATACTGATTTCATATCCTTTGGATAAATATCCAGTAATGGGGTTGCTGAGATGATAGGGTACTTCTACTTTAATTTTTAAGTATTTTCATACCTTAGAATGTGCAAAGGGTCTCTTTCCTCCAACACTTGCCAACACATGTTATTTTGGGGACTTGACTTTTTAACATACCAAAATGACCAGTAATACCAAAGTGACGATGTCATGTGTCTCACCCACCTAAAACCCTTGAGCAGCTTCCCCCGACTTCCAGCAGAGCCCAAGCTCAGGCACAGCAGACAGCAGGCTCTATGCCCCGCCTCAACCTACCCCTCTGGGCTCATTGCACTGTTAGGTACTGGCTGCTTCCCACAAGCCGACCTTGGACTGAGGCCACATCCCAGCCTCCTTCACTCCAGCTGACCCTGATTCCTCATCGAAAGCCCCATCCTCTTCTCTCCCCAGAATCATGGGCCATGGGCAGCCTACACTCTACCTTTGTGCAAGTTAGGAAAAGATGACCTTCTGAGTAACTGAATTAGAAAAGCATGCCTCTCTGGGCCAAACCCACAAAGCCTACAGCTTGACTGAGAAAGGCGGTGCCTGCACATCAATCCTCTGTTCTCCCCAACTATCCCCACCCCTCAGGTCCCCCTGTTCAGTGTGCAACCTGCTCAGCTGACCAGGAAATCCTTTATCTCCCAGGAGATTCTCTTGGATATCTCATATTTGGGTTTTTGTAACACCCTACCAAAACTTTACAGTAGATTAGTAAATAGGCTGTGAGCAGCTCAAGGCTGGGGCCTGTGGCTGCCATGGAAGCAAGCTGCCCAGGCCTCCCTCCAAGACAGAGACCTGTTGCTGGGAGCAGCATCGTGCCCTTCAGGATCCTCCATGGGGTCATGCTCTCCCCAGGGTGCTTCCAGCCAAGGGCAGGGCACAGGGGTGCTAGAGCCACCATTCCTACCCAAGGCAGGACTCCTCGAGCAGGCAGTCTTTGCTCTGGGGCTCTCAAACAGCCTGGCCAAGATTTTTCTCTTGGCTGCACTCCAGGAGCAGGCTCCCTTACCAGTCATCCTTCTTCCCTCTCTCCCTCCACAGGTGACAGATGTGTACCATGTTCTGAAGACTCTCCCTACCTTCTCCCACACCCTCCCCCTCTTTGTCTTTCACAGGCATTTCCTCCAATCAATCTCTTCCTCTTCTGCCTCACGGAAGACCTGACGGACACAGACACCTCATCTTTACATCCTCCATGCCTGGGACATTGGCAGGGATTCTGGAACAGTGATCAAGAGCACGGACACAAATCATAGCCCAGGGACTTACTCCATGGGTGGTCTTAAGAGCAGGTGACTTCAACCTCTCTGAAACCAAGTTTGATGTCCTGTCTATTAAGTGGTAGTGATATAACAGCTACATCTTTAGGCTGTTTGAGAATTAATAAGTTAATACATGAATATGTTTAGTACAGTGCTTAAAAATCACAATAAATATCTAATACAATATAACTAGCTGCACTGGATGCACTAAGTATTCTACACATGTGTTAGTGTTGCAGACTGCCTGGTGCTGGTAGCTGCAATGGTCACAGGACTGTCAGGCTGTGTCCCCCCGACCCCACAACCCCTGACACACACACAGTCAATTCTCTCAAACATGGGCTGCTGAAGGTGACTTCCTCCTAGGGGGCCTCAGCCTGTGCCATAAACTTAGCTGGGCCATTTCTGGGAGACTGTTCAGGTCTCTGTGAATTCTGCCTCCTCTTTGATATTGCTGATATAGTTTGAATGTGTGTCCTCTCTCAATCTCATGTTGAATTGTAATCTGCAGTGTCAGAGGTGGGGCTAGTGGGAGGTGATTTCTCATGAATGGTTTAGCACCATCCCCTTGATGCTATCC